ATGGTTCTGACGACGTGAAAAATCTTATGAGTATAGTCTTCGTGAAAACACAAGTTGATTTTCAGTAATGTATAGCACTGGCATATCTATTATGTCATGTGCTTAGAAAAAATTAATATATTATGATATATTAACTCGATATTACTAGAATAAAACTAAATACCTAATAGAATTTTAGTTTTTACCCACGGCTTTGTTTGCATTATATGCGGAGCAGGTATCAAGTGTCTGATCCAATTGAGTTTACAATATACGTCCTTCCTAAATTTTATCGAAATCTGTCCAGTGGTTTAGTCGTAAAAACGTAACAGAATAGCTATATTCACATTAATAATATTAGTATGGATATAGTGAAATATAAGCATGTTTTAGTGGACTATTTAGAAGATATAACTGAGGGTTGTTAGTGGTTCAAGCAGCTAAAACTATAGGAACGCGGCAGATTCGGCAATATGTTAAATGACATTTTAATATGAGTGCGATAGCGCCGTGGCCCGTGACGTTGTGATTGTATAACAAACATTACATAAATTTTAGTGATTTACAGTTATACATATATAATATATTAGAATAATTTACGTCAAGAATAATCTGTTTTGCCGTAATGAGAGGTTATTATGTTTTTATAATCCTACTAATATTATAAACGCGAAAGTTTGTTAGAATGTATGTACGGACGTATGTTTGTAACTCTTTCACGCCAAAACGGCGTAACGGATCTGGATGAAATTTGGCACAGAGATAGGTTATAGTCTGGAATAATACACAGGCTACTTTTTATCCCAGAAAAATATTCAGTTCCCGAGGGATAGATTTGTTTTTATTTTTCTAGAGGCGTACCCGAGTGAAGCGAGGGTTAGCCCCTAGTTAATATGATCGATGTTTATATAATCGGTTGGCAAAAAAAGCTGATTTTTAGCGTGAATTGTGTGTTTGTGAGTTTGTGACGTTGTAGGGGGTAAGTAATCTCTGGGTCTACTGGACCGATTTAGATGTTTGCTAAGAAGATAGTTTAAGACACCCTGGGAAGGACATAGGATACTTTTTATCCTGGAAATTATCCCTTAAAGGGGCGGAAATGGGGATGAAAGTTTATATGGGGAATCAATCTAGTAGCTAGTTTATATATATGTTTTTGAAGTGAAAACTTCTATAAGCAGGTTTGGATAGGGATTTAATTCATGTAAGACGTCATCAACATGGTCACGTGACGTGTTAATGCCATAACACTCAGAGTCTGGGCTGCCAGATCGTATAAGTAATTGGATACAAAAAGTGTCTATTTTGGTTGTCTTATGTAGCATAGCAGATTGCCTTGTATAATTAGATACAACAATAAACATTATAAATCGAATAACAAAAACGTACAACTCGATTTTAGATAAAATGGAATTTTTGAATCTGTTATATTGTGATATCGTTTACGCAGGTGTGAATGTATCTCAAAGTAACTTAAATTATTTAAGTTGGTACAAGGGTACAATGTATTAATTTATTGTATAGGTGGTACTGTGGAATGACTTTTTTGTTGTCCATTTGCAATTATTATCACATACTATATCTCAACAGTTTTATTGATTTGTATAGTAAGATTTGATTTTGTATAATTTCAATAACCCAACGGTATAAAATAAGTTGACTCTACTGGCAGCCCTGCTCAGAGTGCCGACGATAGATGTCAAAACCAGATAAATGTAAACAGTCTTAATTTACAAATTTTAATTTAAGATCGAGCAATTAATTTTAATACCTATCCAAAAATAACAACTGTTTGTTTATAGTTTTAAGTTGTCACTTCTGTCGGCAGTCCTCATGACTGCTTTTTATAAACATTTTTTGTATTTAAGAGTGTGTGGGTGTGAAAATATGTGTGTATATCTGTATCATTTCACACGTGAATGAAAGATAGGTAGTATATAAATACTAAGATTTTCATGTCAAGACAATCATATTTCTTTCAACTTTAGTAAACTTAAATAATGTTTTATTACTTTTGAAATAAAACTAAGTATATTTTCGGATTTTTTCGCGGATTTATTTAGATTTTTGGTTCCCGACGTTTCAAATGCTTTACAGCAATCGTGGTTATCGGAAAGACAGACAGACATAAATCCACGAAAGTTTTTACTTCTTTCTTTTAAATTAATATTACGATTTACTTTAAGGTTTCATTTTTCCATCCAATCTTAATTCCGCTGTATGAAATTGTGGCGTGCAACCTGAATATTGATTGGTAGTGCAATATGTTTTTATACAAAAAATAATTGATTTAGTCCATTTTAGTTGAAAACTCTAACAGATTTTTATTGGTTACCTAGACTTCTGAAAATAAACACGATGCACGCCGATTTTGACACGCCTATATACTAATACTTTCCATATTGTTTCTTGTTTATAGATCAATGTAATTTTTTTGTACTGACACTCTAATACTTTAGTATAAATACTTTTTAATAAAATTGAAATATTCATCGTACTTATACATTTTGAATAAAATTTTTTTATTAAGATTTTATTGTTATTAACAAAAGAAACATTCATTGACATGAAAGATCGAAAGATTCAGGTGTAAAGACGTGTTGGACAAACTCTCTTTTGATTCATTATACTATTAGTAAGCAATTAATGATTAGAATTAGCATAAAAATAATCGTACTGAAACAACTTACATAGAGTTTCTAATATAAAAAAATCAAAATATGGTATTATTTGAAATTTTAATGGTACTGCCAATTTTGTATCACTCTCCCTGTACTGACTGTCAATTACTGTAATTGGTATGCAACTGACAAATTTGGTAGCGCTGAACTTAATATAGGTAATTTAACGTGTGTTCAGCCCTTTTTAACGTCCCATTGCTGAGCACGGGGCTCCCTTTAGTACGAGGGGGATCAAGCCATAGTCCACCACGCTGGCCAAGTGCGGTTTGGCGGACTTCACATGTCTTTTGAAAACTTGCTAGGTCTCTCAGACATGCAGGTTTCCTCACGATGTTTTCCTTCACCGTTAAGACAAGTGGTAATCATGTTGGTAATGATTCGCACATGAAAATATTAGAGGTGCATGACCTGGGGTTTGAACTCGCTTTAATCGGTTTCTCAAGCGAGCACGTTACCACTGGGCTACCACTGCTTTTTTTCTTATTACTTTACTTTTATTTTTTACATTTTGATAGGTAACTAAATTGAAATGGCATATCTATTGTATTTTGGTAAGTTTTTTAATAGGTACTTACACTAACTGACTCTAGTACTATAGATAATTGATGGGTCATTTCAAACTTTATTATCCAGTATAATACATATTAAAATTTTGTTTAGGTTTGATATCATACAAAAATTCTATAAAAAATAACTCTGCATTTTCTTTTATTTTTTCAATTTTCCGGATGACTTTTCTAATATTTCTCTCTAATAAAAAAAATCTAATAAAAAAATCTCTATAAAGTGCAATTTTATATACATAATATTATGTACATATGTAAATGAAAAAAAAAGATGTAAAACAAACTTTTATATATACGAGTATACCAGGTTTTTATATACACTATATTATGTATGTACATTATAAATCGAGTAAGCCTCGTGATAGCCGTTTAACGTGAAAACTAAATTTAATGCATGCCAGTTTATTTCATAAATCACTCTAAATTACGGCACTGACATAAAACGTACGTGTGCATACAAATATATGTGTGAATTAAAATAGTCTTTAGTCTCATGTGTCTTACTTTTCGAGGGCATTGTGTTAAGTACCTGTTGGTTTAAAGATTTTTTATCCTACTCTCCGATATTAAGTGTAATGTTTTCAATCCTTTAAGTATAGCCAACTTAAAGAATTGAAATACTTAGACTAAATATTTTTTTTCATTCTCAATCTCTTGCTGACACTTGTGAGAACTAAGACGAATCGTCCTCCATAAACCATCTAAGACGGCGAAGCACCAATTAAGACAGCAAGAAGCAAGGCTGCTTAAGAAATAAAACTCGCAAGAGATTACCTTTATTAGGCAGCTTAAAAATATGTAGACGTAGGATCGATTTCCTATTTGACGATATTTCATTACAACAGGGATGTGAAAAGATGTGGTAAAGTTTGAATGAGAATTCGAGTGCCTAACTAAAAAAAAATTTACTAGGACGGCAAATTCGGGGCAGTCCCCTAATATAATATAGAAGTGTATGGGAAGTTTGATTTTTGTTTGAAAGAAGAATCATCATACGTAATTAAATCAACGATTGTTTAAAGCAAACAAATATTCAGCCATAATCACAGTTGCTATAAATAAATAATTATTTTATCTGTGTTTAATAATTATAAAGACGACATTTGTGTTACCCTTTCATAATTAAATAATCATGTAGACGGGTATCGGTTGTGATCCTCATACATATTATGTTAACCAAATAATTAGTCCCGTTGGAACCCGCTATATTTTAGAAACTGAGAATTTTCTAATTTCATCGCGACATGTTTCGTAAATGTGATATTTATATTATCTTCCGGCGTATTCCGCTTCTCTGTTCATGACACATGGCTTAATATTATTAATTTAGTTATGTTATTACGTGTATTTTTTACGTATTTACTTTTTAATTAAAATGTCAAAATATGTTAATACAAACTGCCCTTTAGGACATTTGGCATCTTAATTTATTAATTAAAACTTAAAAATATATATTTCAATTTAAAAATGGAAGATAAAAAAAAGGCGCGGTACGTAGAACATAAGTTGGCGCTGATGTCATAGGATTAGGGTGGCAATAAGAAAAAGTATAATAATGTTTCTAACATTAAAAAAAAACGACAATTCTAAATTTAATGTTATTTCGTTATTTTTTTTATTATGAACTATTTATTTTGTATACTTATGATTAGTTTTTTTGTGATACTAAATTAATATTTTAATTTAAATATTTTTTTTTGTTATTTAATGAATTGTCAACGTTAACACAAAATATATTTTAATTTATTTTAAATTAACTGGATATACAACTTACTTGGAATAACCCAAAGCTGGTGTAAGAGTTATTGTGGTTTGTCACTTTCTCCGTTGTCCGCCCACTCGCATGTTCTATCAGACACACCCCTGAAAATAATAAGACTACTTATAAACGAAGTTTTGAGTATGAGTATGTGTGTGAGTATGTTTGTTTATCACGATAAAATGGCTCGAACGATTTGGATAAAATTTACTATACAGATAGACTATAACTTAGAGAAACACGTAGCCTGCTGTAAGACATCAAAGAACAGACTCGAGTTAAGCATTAGTAAGACACTAGTTCGTTAATGTTTTGTGTTTTTATATAATATTATATTAATTAAAGCTTTCAGTTAAATATTTCAGGTTTGATATAAAATGGGTCAAAACTGTCATTATTCATATAGAGCTCATACAAAAAAAAAATAGTACAAAAAATATCATTGAGAAGAGAGAAGCTTTTATTTAAAGGCTAAATTAAAGATTCCAATAAGCTAATAATATTTAATTTTAACTTTTTCTTTGCCTGATGTTGCTTAGTGAATAATAAATATCCATTTAGTACACGTATTTAGTATTGCTACGACGTAGCCGCATTGAAACAGTGCTGATTCAAATTACCTGAAATATTTTATAAGCTGAGGCTTTCAGATTTATTATTTATTCCTATTGTGTAACAACTATTGGAGTGTATCAAAATTTAATTATATCTAATAACTAGCGACTACGTACGTTTTAACGGTTAGTATGAAATAGAAATCTTTGAATTTATCGGTTATTCTGTACTATAATATTCATGTATTATACATATAAACCTTCCTCTTAAATCACTCTATTAAAAAAAACTGCATCAAAATCCGTTGCGTAGTTTTAAAAATCTAAGCATATATAGGGACATACAGACAACGGGAAGCGACTTTGTTTTATACTATCTAGTAATATTCAGTAATTATAATAAGAAATGAATACGATTATATATAATATTTATTGAGTTAAATAACAATTAATTATCCTAAATTACTTTTAAAGATATAAGTTGTATATATTTTTGTAATTGCCTCTTATAAACCTGTATTTTGATACCCCATTCGAATAATTCGGACGAAAACATTTGTTTAAGGATACAAATTTTCGCCTGAGATCCGCCATTTTAATTTTCAATGATATCTATATACACTATGACACCTGCGTTATCAAGACAACTCGAATGACGAATGAATCATCAAAATCAAAATAGTTTATTAAATAGGATGGAACATAGGATCGGACATACACAAATACATACATACAGGTCAAACTCATCACCCTCCTTTGGGCTTCGCCGCAGTCGGGTAAAAATGCAAAAAATTGTGTAAAAAGTTGTTGTGGGAAACTTACTTCGTAATTAATTTCTATTATCTTCACAATTACTAATATTTATATCATAATATGTTTGTTTATCTACTATTTTTTGAACTAAAACTATTTTTTAAAATATATAAGAAAAATATTTTGCTTTGAATTTTTATGAGTGCTCAAGACACATGATGATGTTCTACTAGCAGATTCCGGCTACGGCGGCCAATCTCATTGAGACTAGCCAAATGCGCAGGAGATATTATAGTGCACAAGTGTACGCGCAGACACAAGTGTACTCTATTCCTGTCACTCTCATACTCCGGTGGGACGACTGCTCGACACGACCAGTGAGACTTAAAGAGCAGGACCGACGAGTTTACGTGCTCTCCGAGGCACGGGGGCGACCCACCGCCAACTTCCCAACTCTGGGCTGTTACTGACACTTACTATACAGAAAGGCTCAATAACTAAGCTTATCCCGACCCGGGACTCGACCCCAGGACCTCCGAGTGTGCAGCCGTACATGCTAGCCACTACACCACCGAGGCAGTTACTTAATACACAAGTAATATACCAAAGAAATAATCACAAATTTTCAGAATTTAAAATAACTAAATCTTATAATAACATTAAGCCGGAAACCGAATGAATTGCCGACCTTAATAAGCATTCACGGTGAACTTAGAGATCTTCAATTTGCATAAAAAGGGGCATGACTCAAATAACAAAACATTTTGAGAGCCTCTTTCATTTAAGTTTAAAACTGTTAGCGTTGGATTTAATTGACACTGTAAAGGGACGCAGGCTTAATCCGAATTAATTCAAATTGATACGGCCTTAAATCAAAAGCGACGTTTGCTTCGAATTTGTTCTGTTCATTGATATCTAAAACAGATGGCAAAATGCGATTGAATCGTTTAGATATGTTAGCATCTTTTATCATTCAAGAGTTTTATGTTTCATCTGCATTCAAGAGATTTATGTCAAATAGTCTTTAAATTTATCACTGCTACTCTCCGCTACGACTAGAATGGAATGAGATATTTAAAAAAGTATGAAAATTTTAATTCTAAACAACGAAAGTGCCTAGATTTGATTATTTCTAAAAATAAGAAATAGTAGGTACGTTAAAAACCTTATTAGTAGCAAAAATACCTGACTGTTGTTTTTCTTTATCTGTGATTTAACTGTACCCTGTACTCTTTTTCTGTGTGCAACAAAGTGTAAATTTTTTAATCTATGTTAAATTCAAAAATAGTTTAAATTTTATCAAACTATTAGCGACTTACCATTTTAACGGTTAGTATGGAATAAATAGACTATTATATATACACCTAGGTAATAGGTATATATAGATATTATATATACCTAGGTATAAATTAACAGTCCTGAACTCTTCGATTTCCCAGCTGTTATTTTGGCTATTCCCTATTTTTTTTTACACTTGAACCACCCTTGACACACCCCAACAAAACAAAAAAGGAATTATTCAAATCCGTCCAGCCGTTTTTGAGTTTTAGCGAGACTAACGAACGTAAATTGATTTTTATATACAAATATGTATAGAATATTTAGCCTTAATCTTCACCAATATATTATAATTTTCTTCTAAAAGTGGATATTTAATAATCGACTGCCACGTATGGATAGATACTCGTAAAGTCAAATCAAAGTTTAGGATCAGCAACTTACATAATAGACGAAGTTGGTTTCAATTCACTTAGTCAAGTTTCGTTTGAAAGCAAGAATAGGCATATTAGTAATTAATTCGTGCTCGAAAACTACAGAAGATACCATCAATATTAATATATCTCCTTACAGTACATTTAGTTTCGATATTGCATTTCTAGGCCCATTAATTATGAGATATGATAGACTAATAGTTCATAGTAGTTGGAATTAACCAATGTAACAAAACATGTCGAGACGTAGAATTGATTGCATTTGTTAAACTATTGCATTCAAACGCTTGGTCCTTCGAGCCGGATTCTTTATAATTTACTTGAAATTGTTATTACATAAATTATGATTCACTAAGGTTAAAATTCATCAATTGACAGATATATCAATATATACATAGCTAATTTTCTCCGAAAGCACATAAGTCAAAGGCATAATAAACGTGTACGCCTCGGGAGCAACGCTGTACTTTGCTGATTAACTTCGTGCTAATGCATGCATCGCGCAGTGCATTGCCACCTCTGGGATATTGTCTTTGTTAGCTTAAGTTTGGTTTTGTTTGATCTAACTAAACTATAGCATTAAAGATTAATGATTTAAAATGAGTAGCTTCAGTTATGCAAATATTACTTTATTAAGCGACAAATTGAAAAATATTCATTAGATATAATGTTATAAAAAAATCATGTAAGTTGTCGTTTGAACAATATTTTTAATCTTCTTAGCTAGCGTCGTATTGCCATAGTCATTTTACTTATTTTCCTAATAGGTTAGAAAATAAATGAAAAATACAATTTATTAGCGTTTCAGTTGATAATATTTTTTAGAAATTTATTTATATGGCAGCTCACAAAGCCATTTGTATAGCGGATTTAATAAGAATATTGTGTATTTGTATCTAAAGTAACTATTATCCTAAGCAGCAAACTGTTTTTTAATAGATACATCTATTGCACCATACAACTAAGTGTATGATTGTGTATAAAGATTTTACAAAACCAAATATTTCAAAATAAAATGAAATGTAAAAGAATAGTTTAAATTTATTTTTAAGGTCCATAAATTCTGATTAAAATATTTTTTAGAATTCTGTGAATCGTGGTTAGGCGGTCAGGCTCCATTTCAGTTTAACTACAGTGTTTTCTTTACCTGAGAACGTCTGTTGCCATCCATTTGCCTGTCTGCGGATTTGTTAAGGAAAATTAGCTATTTTTTCCGACGTTGTTTTCCTTTCTATTTAATTCGACAAAAGTAAAAAGGTAGCGTTACTTCTAATACTATCTAATGTTGATATTTTAATTATAAAACAAGGTTATTGTAAACAAGCTGCATTAAATTTGGTTAGCTTTTTACTTCAACTTACTTTTCACCTCAATCTTATACAGATCAATTTCGGACATATTTTGAGACATCTATACTAATATTATAAAGAGGTAAAGTTTGTGAGCTTGTGAGGTTGTAGAGGGGTAATCTCTGGATCTACTAAACCGAGTTAGATGAAATTTGGTAAAAAAATATTTTGAGACCCTGGGAAGGATATAGGGAAGGAGATAGGATACTTTTTATCCCGGAAATCATCCCTTAAGGGGTTGAAAGTAGGGATGAAAGTTTGTATTGGGAAGCAATATAATATTCTTTAAAAAATTCATTAATTTGAGCTTTGAAAGTCTACTAAAACTTATATAATATTTAAGCTTATCTTAATCTGAATAATCTCTAATAAATCTTAATCTAATTAAATGAATTATCGGGATGTTTTACTTAACCAGTTGTCTGGCTAGTTTTTAATTCGATAATGATAGTTTACTTGTTATTTAAAAATGTAAGAATTTCCCGCACCTACTTTTAACCTATTGTTTATTTAGAATGTAATGAATCAAAAATATAAAAATTAATTCGTAATAATAAAAAGGTGTTAGCTTTTTTAGCGCATATTACATTATTACACTAAATTGGATATAATTTAGGAGACATGATTGATGATTAATGACCACCATTTTAAAAATTGTATTGACTTATTTCATTTTTTTTGTCGTTGGCTTCAATACGTGGCAGCTTAGCACAGATTACTTCAATGGCACGTAGAATGTAGAAAATATATATTGTGACTAATATAAGGTATATAATATTTGAAGATAGACACTTTCTTAATTTCTATCAAATAAGTAAATACCTACAAAACCAAATTGTTTTTCTCAGAAGGCCCGCGGGGAATTTAACAGCTACTGAATATATTTTTTTACTATATAATTATATAATATTGTACTTAACTTACGTGAGTACCAACAAGACAAGAACATATCATATTTGCAAAATATTTACCAAGGGAGTATAATTTTGAGCATAAGAGCGCTCTGCAGATGAGGGGTTATTGGTGAATTTTAATTTTTAATTTAGCTTTCCAATACAATTATTATTAATTGATTATCATAAATACTTACAGTTAGGTATCAAAGTTCTTGGGAAATTATATCGCAGCAGTTCCCTAGATAGCTGGCAACGGGTGAAGGTACGAGCGTGGGCTCGAGTGTTGTGGATAAGCGAGAGCGCTAGCCATATGAGAACTAGGTAACGCATCTTGATGGATCACCTGTGACAAATATTTTATAAATATATTATTAATCATACTTTAATAATGTACCTGTATATTACTACGACTTCAAGCCTTTTCATACAAAAAAACTATATTAATTTTACGAGTTTTCTCGTAGATTTAAATTATATTAAATGGGATCGATGGCTTTACATGGTCTACCACGAGGCAGGTGGATGTAACACCTTAGGCCACCAATTTCCAAAATTTAGGCTGTTCCTAAGAATATCGTGTAAGACAAATGCAATAACTATATTTTTCGCGAACTGGGACTCACACTCGAGACCACTGAAGCTACCATAGGGCACTTCAAGAATAACACTTTCGATTAATTTATATTAACAGCACTTTATTAAAACGTTATTTGTAATGGAATATTGTCTTTGCATCATCATACTAATAACTGGTAGCGTAAACAAAAGATGAACAAAAAGCGATGGAAACGCATCATGACTATTGTATATTTTTTTAAATGTATTAGATAAAATTAATAAAATGATTAAAAATATATATAGATATTGTGTATATAAAATAGTAAAATAACATACAATTACGAGTATAATATATTAGGTTAGATAGCAATTATACAGAATGGAAGTTAGTCTTACTTTATTCTATAGTTGTTAGGACCATAATATAATATTGGATAGATAAATTCCAACTACGTTACATTAATTAATTGTAGAATTTCCAATAGTAAAATCTCGCTTGAGATGGTTGTTTAAGCTAATTAATCAAGATTTCTTAGACTTCCATTATAATTGTCTGAAATTTGTATATTCCATGAATTTTGTAAATGTAAATAACTACAAATGTTTCAACTATAGTTGTTATTATAAGTAACTAGCAGAACCCGCGGCTTCGCTCACGCTAAAACTACAAAAAATCTCTGAAAAGTTAGTTTCATACAAACTTTCATCTCCTATTTTCAAAAAGTTATGCCTATCCGTCAATCCGTTTCGACGTGAAAGAAGGACAAACAAACACACTTTTACATTTATAATATTAGTATGGATTTTAAAACGATAACAACAAATTTAAAATTACTTAGGCGTATTACTTCATGGTAAATAAAATTAAATATGTTTTAATATTAATATAATATACTATTATACAATAATAGCGACTCACCCTCCCTTCGCTTCGGGTTCGTCCTTAGACAAAAACAAATCTATCCCACGGGAACCGTATATTTTTCCGGGATAAAAAGTAACCTATATTCTATTCTAGACTATAATCTATATCTGCCAAATTTCATACAGACCGGTTCACCCGTGGTGTGAAAGAGCAAACATCCGTCCTCACAAACTTTCACATTTATAATGTTAGTATGGAAATGTATGTATTATCATGGATAATGATTTAAAAAATAATAGAATAAATCCAAAAGAAGATAAAGAAGTTTTAGATAAAATGTGATAGAGGGCTTAGACAAAATTTTATTCTATATTCTTTCTATTCGAATATTTTTTTTATTTCTATGGTTAAATGATGTAGAATGAAATCTTGTTTAAGCCCATAGATTACCTTAGCAATAGTCTGCGGGAGAGATACAAGTGCAACTACGTTGTGCCCTGTCGCAGGGATCTGACCAATTATCCATTTATGACTGCACGCATTGAAGTACGCATTTAAGAGACGGCTATAAAAGCATTAAATTTATAAATTACGAGCTTTTACCCGCGGCTTCGCTCGCGTAGTTCAGCTCTGTAACATTTGTTTTATGTAAATCTGTATCTGATCTGTACTTTCATGAATATGATATTACTAGCGATTCACCCTCGCTTTGCTTAGGTTCGTCTCTAGGCACGTTTCAACGGTTAGTATGGAATGATAGATTTTAGATTTTCCCGCTGTTTTTTTTTGTTTTCCCCATTTATACTATATATTTTTATACTTAAACCACCCCTGACATACCCCTAACAATACAAAAAAAGGTCCAGCCGTTTTTGAGATTTAGCGAGACTAACGAACGGCAATAGATTTTTATGTATATAGAAAAATTTTTACTTGTAACTTGGTGTTCAAAGGTAGCCTTTGTATTACTGTGTCTGTATATTAAATTACATCTAAATCAGTCTAGCCGTATAAGCAAGAAGGAACAAAGCTAGTATGTTATATATGTAATTGTGTTTCATGATTTTGCAATTTTTAAAATAGCTTTTCTTTATATTTACGATACCAATTGAATGCAGAATGGCCTCTAAAGAACACTCGAGACAATATACTGCGCGTTTGCTATCGCCTAACCCCCGGATCATTTATGGCTGCGATTTGAACTAAAAGACTCCTAGTTTTTTAAACGGTGTTAGGAGACTAGTTCCGCTATGCAATGGCGACATAAACGTTCCAACGTATATAATATGTTTTATTTGTTCGTGTGTTAAATTCCAGTATATTTGTATGTATTTTATTTGTTTAACAATATAATTTAAATTTTAGACCGAGTTCAAAAGAAGGAGCATATAGCAATATTTTTATGGGTATTTTGTGCGAGCGATACCTTTGCCAATAGTTTATCGACTTTCACAATTCTTGACATTATGGAATACGTAGGTTATATGAGTGGGTTATAGACTTCAAAAAATACTTTAGAAAGACAGACAGATTTTTTAGTCATTTTAAAAAAAACAAATTCTCGGAATAAAGCCGAATTTACTTAGTGAAACGAGTTGAAATTTGTACATTATTTTTCCACATATTTAAAGCGAAGGCAGACTTAATTTTATATCGATAAATTGCTGTTTTTAATTTAAAATAGTTGTTCGAACGTACGTACGTTTATTGGTAGTCTATAAATAAGGTTTCACTAAAATATATGTTGGTGGTGTGTATAGTGGTAACGCGCTTGCTTGGGAAACCAAGTGAAGTGAGTTCGAATTCCGGGTCTCGTACCTCTGATATTTTTACCATTTCATTTCTGACATGATTAGCACTTATCAGATGATGAAATAAAATATCGTGAAGAAACCTGTATGTATGCAACTACCTATTAAGTTTTTGAAAAACATGTAAAGTCCACCTCGCATTTGGCCAGCGTGGTGGACTATAGCCTGATCTCCCTCGAATTAAGGCCCGTGCCCAGCAGCGGCACGTTAAAAATGGCTGAATAAACCATATAAAGTATTCAACGTGAAGAAGATGTTAAAATTATATTTTCCTATTGTAAATCAAAAATAAGTAATGGCCGCAATAAAAATAAGTAGCACAAAGTGATAAGTACAGGAGAGGTGTTTAATAATTTACAAAAGGTATTCTTTTTGCGATGACAGCTCCCAATGAACGTAGAACAAAAATAGTATAAAAAATAAAGCTCTTAAATTAATATTCCGAAACCTTACTTCATAAACAAAAACACGCTACAAAAGGCTCTACATTTTTACAAAGCCTTTATAATTCTCAACAATAATGAAAATGAAAATGGATTTCAAACAATGTTTGTACGCGAAACTGTTATTAAACGCGGTAAACGTCAGGCACATTAACTCTTAGTGATGTATCGTTGGGAACCTCCAAAATACCACCACAATCAGACCTATGAAGCTGAGCTTTTGTTCTGTTATCATTTGAAATTTATAAATAATGAAGATCAAATTAAAATGGTCATGAGAATGGGTTAAGCTTACCCTTAAGAGATGGTTATTACGGATATTTTCTCACTTCTTAGTAATTGCGGATGCTTAGTACCCCTTTTAGATTTAAATCTACGATTGAGAGTGCTATTACGAAATGAACAGAAATTTTGTGATTTATTAAAAGCCATACTAATATTATAAATGTGAAAGTGTGTTTGTTTGTTTGTCTTTCTTTCACGTCGAAACGGAATGACGGATTGACGTGATTTTTTGTGTGAAGATAGTGGAGGGCTGGAGAGTGATATAGGCTACTTTTTACCAGGGAAGATAATCTCATTCATTCCCACGGGAAAACACGTTATAATACAACTCAAAAATATTTATGATCAGAATTACTTGAAACTTATAATTAATGCTCTTTAAAACAATTAAATAAATACGTGTTTCAGTATTATTCGAAATTTATCCCATAAGGGGGTAAAATAGGGGATGGAAATTTGTAAGAAACCTACTACCTTTTTAGAGTTTTATTGTAGTTTTAGCTGCGGGTTCTGCTAGTAATATATATTTTTATACTAGAAATTAAATGAATAACAGAAAAATGTGCAGCGAATTTGTTTACGTTGGAAGCTTTTATCTACGATATTCAGTAGCTTTAATGTCATCAATAAAAAATATCGACAAGATTATTGTCAAGTTTCAACAACTAGGCTTACACTAGTAACAATATAACTGAGTAAATAAACTTAAAATTTATCATTGAAATGTAGGTAAATTCCTTCATGTCTAGCGTCAATGCTTATACATACATATCTCTCTGTCCATTCTTGCATTTATAACTCGAACAACTACTTGTATTATTTACATCTATATAGTATATACTATATACCTATATTAAACAAAGTCGGGTTTGTTACAACACTCGAGAACGGCTGGACTGATTTTTATGATCTTTATTTTGTTGAATTTGTCTTCACCTCGAATAGCAGAATAACTATTAAAACATCGGAAAAATTCACAAAAAAATTGAAAAAAAAAATCTATTCCATACTAAACATCAAACCGTACCTATACAAAAGTAGATAATATTCAATCTATGTACTAAATTTTGTACAAATACATCCAGCCGCTTAAATATGAAGTAAAAAGAAATACACATACATACACACACACAACGCACACACAAACTTTCGCATTTATGATGGGTAGTTTGGTGATTGAATATACACAATATAGTGTCTACCCTAAAAAGGAACCAAAAATATAAATACGTAAACTTATTTATTACTTTACTAAATCACACCTACATATATAGATAAACTTATAAAAGCTTATCTTAATACACAATTTGATTCAAATCATTAGAGCCGTTTCCAAGATACACGAAATAAATATCTGTTTTGCTATTA